GTTGCCAAACCCGGCGCCCGCCGGGTATTAGATTGTTACGCAATAGTCTTAGATATTCTCAGAAGCAAAAACAAAGTGCTAGAGAGAGGTTTTTGGTGCCAGAAAATGTGTGCGATTACGCGACACGCCAGGAGGAAAATGGCAAAATTCGGGGGACAGCTGCCACATCGACTCCTTACCTTCCCCTCTCTATCCGCGCGAGGATGAAAATGTAATAAGTCGATGGACCACATGTTTCAAAGTTTGTAAATTTATTCCGTTTTCCATGGATTTCGTTTCACCTTGTCTGTGAAATGTGTTTCCTCTTTGGGGAGCTGAGACAAACAATGGGTGAGTGAGGGACAGTTGGACAAAAAGTTGTAAAGCAATAGGAGTAATAAAGCAACAAGGAGCAATAAAGCAAATGTCGTTATGTCGAAATGGCTAAATGTCAAAGAGATAGAGGCGATGTGGCAAGAAATGAAGGCCACAAACGCCAAATGGCAAAAGCCCAAGTAAACAAAATACCAGAGGATAAAAGTCAAGTAAAGAATAAAAGTCAAATGGACTCAAGTCAAACGGCAAAGAATCAAAATGATAACAAGCCAAATGCCAACAAAATGCAAAGGTAAAAAGTAAAAAGATAAAATTCAAATGGTAAAAAATCAAAGACAAATGTAAGATGTCATGGGGTGAAAGTCAAAGAGGATAAAGGGCACGTGACTTCTGAAGGAAAAGGCAACTTGTTGTTCGTTGGTCTCCCCCACTTACTGGTAAAAAGAGGAAAAGACGACTCTAAGAAATACAACCGAAAATGACAAAGATTCCTGAGAGCCCTGTAACAAACAGCTAAAATAATCTCTTCGCATTTTTTGGGTATCGAAAATTTGGATATTGTTTTACTGAATAGAGTATTTCAAGCTTTCGTGACATTCATCGCACGAACATTTTGACGCCTTGGTGTGTTGCAAAGATTGCGGGACATATCCCTTTGGAAAAGCGAGGCAAATACGACATATTATTCTTATATTGGTGGGCATGGAGTCCAATGAGATTCCTCCCACAAAAGCAACTACTTGAAATCGAAATTCTGAGCTTTTCAGAAGGATTTCGAGAAACTGGTATTACCGACCAAAACGGACGCGTCTGTCTAGCAGGTGAAATTTACATTACGTACAAAAGATGGCCTCTTCCCTTAAATCAGCTTTGCAAAATGCACGCACTCAGTTTCAACTAAGATAGAGTAGCGCGATCGTTTGACAGTGTTTGGATGCACCGTAACGAGTTAGGAACCGAATCACTTTGAACTATAGTTTTTGCTTTTCACATCTTAAACCTCTCCAATCACAAAACTAGCTGTCTTACAAGGAACGTTTACAAATTTTGTTAGGTATTTTGTATGTTTTGTTTTGTATCACTGCACTCTGTGACACAACAAACATTGTTATTTATGCCGCCTCAGAACTCGAAATGATCGAGAAATGTGAGCATCACACATCATCATACAAACATATCTTCTTCAAATTAGGAGAGTATGCCAAAGTTCTGAGCAGTTTGAATAAAGAGTGGTGATAAATTTCTTACGTGACTGCACTTGTTTTCTCGCCAAAGCGCAGGAGAACCATTAGATAGCGTCGAGTTGGAGGCTCTTTTGTGAGGAGGTCCCATTTTGTCCAGAGGACCCGATGCCATCTGAAATGTTCTTTCCCAGCCCAAAATTCGAAACACCGTTCGTCCAAGGGATGTTTTCATGGGCGTGTTTTTCTATGACTTCAGGGATCTAAAACAGCTAAGCTAGAAGGCATCACATCGCGAAAAATGATCGCGAGTTAAGACACTTGCCATCACGCGAGAGAATGATAGAAAATGCTCCTATCCAAAGCTGGAACCCGGCCTATTCTCCCTTTTCGCGGTCACGGAGCCGACAAATAGCTTATTCCAACTGGCTGAGCGGGGCAGGCTTCATCCCCCCTCCCACCCCCTTAGCCCTCTCTCTTCGACGAACACCTGCCCAGAGACCCTCGGTGTGTTTTGAAACACTGTGAAAGCCAGTGATTTGTTTTGTTAATAGCCTGTTTCTGGCGTTGTCCATTTTACCGGTATCAATTATGACTTTCACGTATTTGGCTTTTATCTTGTTTACTTGCATTCACTTGACTTTTTGCCATCTGACTTTTTGCCTTTGTACAGTTGACCAATATCCTGCTTGAATTTTTGCCATTTGAATTTTTGCCATTTGGCTTTTTGTCTTTCGAAATCTTTTCTTTTTCTTGACTTGAACTTGAAATCTTGACTTTTTGTCATGGGACCAAGGGTATGGGACGGCAGTCCCAGGCTCCCAAAGCGATACCTAGCTCTACCCGCGCTGTTTGTTGCTGTTGTTTGTTGTTGATGTATACGACGAATTGATGAGGCATCTTCAGACTTACATCACCAGGCTGTTAAAACTACAAAGTATATACCTGATGCCAATGCTTTACCAGATGTGTGTTATGTCACTGCCCCCACTCAGTCGTCATTCGAAAAGACGTGTGCCTTTAGAGTTTGAAAGTGCGATACTCTATTTAGTATTTTTTGGGATTAAAACTTTTGTTTGCACTTGATAAAGCTTATCGGTAGACAATCTCGAGATGGGGTGTGAAAAGCGAAATGTATGGCAAAATGTAAAGCAATATCGTGCGCTCTCCATCTACTTATCTTTACGTGTGCACGCAGACTTATATAGGGTTACCATTGATTTGCCGATCTGCCAGCTACCCAAAAATATGAATTTTGCTGGCATTTGGCGCATTTTATTTTCAGCGAGTAAAAGATGTTGATGTTGCATGTCGCTGATCGTGACTGAAATATTACTTCTTCCCACCATGTCATAACTTAACGATGTAAAGAAGTTGTTTTGAAGGAATCGTAATAAGCGTCTGATAAGCATACTTGCATGCCAAGTTGTCACATCATGCGCAAAAGGCTTTGTGTGAGGGGGACCCTCAGGCTGTAATGAATGAATAACGTATGACAATCGCCATAAGGTATCATTAGTTCACATATGATACATTATAAAAGCAGTTATAGCACAAAACCTAAACACTGTGGCAGCTGCGTTGAAGTTACGCCTAAATTGGGCAAGCGATGTCTAAGTTCGTCGAATTTAGGAGATTGCATAACAAATGACTGATAAATGTGGTATCCGACTTAAAAAAATTCGCGGATATCTGCGTCAAGCAAAAACCTGTGAGTTTGCACTTATTTCACCTCATTACGATCGCGTATTGCGCAAAAATTGATAAAATTTGCTTTGAGTTCCAATTCGGACAGCCAACATATATGTGTGTACCCTGTCTTTGCATTCCATTTCAACCATCAGTCTGTTCAGAATTATATAGAAACCAGTTACGCGAGTACATTGTGGTGGCCCGCACATATTAGCGCCCGGGGCACGTGTCCCCCCCCCCCCCCTACGAAATGCGTCCCACATGTTAAGATATTTTGAATTTCTCAAAAACTAAAAATATCTCAGAATTATCACTGCTTTTTAGCACCACACCTGGCTGGGCATAATATTATGTACGAAGATAACCTGACAAAGCAGGAATGAGATGCAAACTCAGCAGGCCTGTGGGAACCCAAAAGCTACACCCACTGCACAAAGTTTTGCATGTTTGTAACCACTGAGGACAAATTCCTTCAAAATTCACAAATTGACATTTTGTGATTTATATGTGTCTTACAGAATGTTATGTTTAGTTTTCTTATTCAAAGGGTTTTTTCAAGTAAGGCTATTAGATTCCAATTCTGACCTCCAACCATCACATGCCACGCACCCTCCCCAGTCTCAAAGACATGGTTGAGCTCATGAGCTGACTATCCGGAAGATAAACATGCACATTCGGTATCAGAGAGGGACAATGGTAGCTTTATAAGTCTCTGAAAGAAGAGAAATTCAGAAAGATGCATTTTTCTTTTGTTGAAAAAATGAACGCTGCTTTGAGCAAACAACCACATCAGTGCAAGAAAATCCTCGCCACAGGCTTGACGTTTGATGACGTTTTTGCCTGTAAAAACTCCAGCCATCAGCAAAATTAACGATAGTCATGATCAAGTCATTAACGCACTTGCTCAACCACTCACAGCCCTGTAAAGCGTGTTTGTTTACTGATGCTTATCGACGACTTTTATTGCCACATTGCACGTGACACAGTGTCATCAAGCTGTTCGATTACATGGCTTTCTTCGTTTCAAATGTTTAAATCATTGATAAACCGTTTCCGGCGAACACCTGCGGATATTTCATGTAAGGGTTTTCACGGTTATCGCCTTTGTGGCTGTTGGTCAGAGATGATCGCTAACCGTGCCAAAAGCGAACCATTCTGGCAGGCACGGCCCACCAGACGTGCTGAAATTTTAGCAAACAACTGCTCCGTGACAGGCAGGGCTTCTGTGAAAACATGAAGGCGCCTAAGAAGCCGAGGCGTGGTAATTAGATGGACGCGTCCATTTCCGAAGAAGCAGTCTGCATACACGGCAAAGCAGACGCATTTTCGGGTGTTTGTCCGTTACAAACCAGACATAGGCACGAGGGGTGCACGTCCATTTTCCATTCTATATGGTGGGATCCTTGGCACCGAATGGGCGGGGGTCGTCGTTGCGAAGACAAATCGTCTGGCCCACCGCTGGCCAAAGGTAACCAAGCCGCGAATTATTGTCATTACTACAGTGTAATAGCCATTCCTGAACGTTAATGATAGCGACTCAAATTAATATTTCACGTTGGTGTTCACCGCAGAGTTATATTGCCACACGAAACCTCACGGTAGAATTGCCTTCCCCAATCCCGTAAGTCACCGCAGATAATAACCCGTAATTTCCATGCTATTACCGGTAGCTCCGCCCGCCGCACGGTAGCCGAACCAATCAGCGTGTCGCCCGCGGCGGCCGGCCGCCAGGGGCGGAGCCAGCGGCGCGGTGGGCGGAGCCATCCGTCGCGGCGTGGCGAGCGGCGCGGTCGCGCCAGTTTTGTGCCGGATTAAGCCGCGACAGGCGCGCCTATCTGCGGGTGCCCGGCCGCCGACTCGTGTTGCACGGGTCCGAGCAGGAGTGTCCCGGCCGGCCCGGCACGGCATGACCTTCAACCACCCCGCCATGATGCAGTCTTGCTTCGTCGGATACCCCTTCCAAGGTAGGCTGATGCTGTTGGTAGCTGACGTTGGACGGCATATTTCCGGCGGAGTCGTTCGCTGTCCGAAGTTGCATCTTTATAGGCGTGCTGTCTTCGAGACTAGCCGATTATCAAAGCGGTTTGACAAAAAGTATGGTTGGGAAACGACAGAACTCAAGAGGTGGCTATGGTTTTAGGTGGATTGTCTTCGAATAAAACTGTAGTTGACGGGCATTAGCCCGCCGCTGCGTTCCATTCGGGCACACAGGTCTCATAACAATTTATTGTTGATGGCAAGTATTGTGAGCGAAAGCTGACATTGAAAGAAGTACAAGATGATCAAATGTTTTCACGTCAACGAAGTTTGCGTAGTTTGAAGCGGTGGAAGGACAGCATCATGTGCGATACGGGTTTGTGTTAGTAGTGCCACAAATTTGCGTCAAAACTGTTGTAGGCGGCTGCATTTGTTTATGTGCAATCACGATGATAAACGATAACTTTCAATGTCTGGTAGGGTGACCCGCACAAGTGGGGATATATCGATGTCATGGCATTTTGCTTCAATACGATGGCTCAAAATCATAATCAGAATTGAGTAGTGCAGTATAAAAAAGAGAGGTGCGGTGACTAAAAATGCCGCGCTTCAGCCGTCAATCGCGGTCAGGAGTAATGACATCAAAGTCTTGGGGCGCATGCAGTATTTCGTAATGGCAGCACAACTTCCAAGTGTTCCCTGATGCGTCCATTTCGGTGCGCCACAGGATCATGAAATATATTGCACAGCGTAAAGCAGCGTTACACACTTTCAATCCACGTGTGTATCTCATTTCTTGTTGGTCGACATCAATCTACGTGGAAACATACCTTTAAATATGCATTTCAACGATTTAATAGCGGGGTACGTGTCTCCGGTGCTCCCTCCTCGAAGGTTTTTCAGGCATTTGGTCACCTTGTTCCAATGGGAAAATGGCCTAGAGGCAGGAGAATCACGGGCCGCGAGAATATATCGTAATCCACACCCAAACCCATAACCACAGTTTCAGCCTCAGGCCGACCTATTGCAATGTGGTTGTGTTACGTGGGTAAAGTACTGTGTGGACGACACGCTCACACATCATACTATCAAGTCCCTAAAGATGCATTTTCATCTCGAAGAGCAGAGCAGGTACTCACCAGATGAAGCCAGTGGTTAGGGGCGGAGAACAAACGATTTCGACCAGAAATAGCACTTTCAGTGCGACTTCCTTCGAAATTGTTAGACTATTTCAATGCAGTTAATATCGGAGGCAACCATTGCCTCACAGGGCTGTTCTCGACATAGGTGTTTTCAAAAGGTACTACTTACGATGACATTAAAAGCCTATGTATTACTTATCAAAGTTCTAATATCATAGTAGCGTAAAAGTGTATGCGTATAGTGATAATCATGACCGTGGTACATACAAGTGAGGTTATAGTGATGATTGCAAATGCTGAGTTAAGTGACGTTTATGTACAGGAAATTTCAAATTTTGCTTTTAAGGCACGACCAGTTGCATGGGCTGCAAGCTCTTATTTTCCTACCTATTGTACACAACTGTACCCAGCCACGCCGTCACGTTACCTCTTCCCGCACAGGCTGCCCGTCCGGTCTCGTCCGGTTTCAATCCTCTCCGTTTCGCCCAGTCCGATCTGTTGCGTTCCGTCCAGTCCTTTCCGTTCCTTCCGCCTGGTCCGTTTCTTCCCCTCCGGCCGTATCCAACCCCTCACTTTCTTCCTTTACTCCACCCGTTCCATCCGTTCCACCCGCTTCTTTCATCCGGTCCACCCCGTTCGTTCCGTTCGTTCCGTCCATGCCGCCCGTCCCACCCGTTGCCCAGCGGCGTGCGGTCCGGCCCAGCTCCGGCCCGGCTCCGGCCCCGGCCCGGCCCGGCCCGGCCCCGGCCCGGCCCGGCCCCGGCCCCGGCCCCGGCTCGGCCCGGCCCCGGCTCCGACCTCGCCCCTACCTTTGATCGGCTCGCCGGCACGGACAGATGCCTATCACGACGATCGCAGGGGCTGACCCGCCCAGCGCGCGCGCGCCAGCGCCCTGCCACAGCCGTTAACCTGTCCAGTGATGACGGCGGCCCGGCCGGCTGGCTCGGCACTTTGTTACCGGTTTATTGGGGGGACGCGGCCCTGTTTTTGTCCCGCCGGCAGCGGCCATCATTTAATTATCTCGGCCGTCCGTACGGCCGGCTTTTTGTTCTGCCGCCAGGTAATGGGAAAGGCTGCGAATTAGCCAGGCGTGTTTCGCCCGCCCCAGCACGGCATCGCGCGAGGGGGGACGAACATGCAACACAAAATTTGGGGGATTGTTTTACCTTTTTCCGCGTTTGTTAGCGCGTTTGTGCAAGCTTTTCTCGTGATTTATACTGGTATATTCCTCTTAGAACTCAAGGGAACGCCTACATAACTGAAACACCTACAGCACAGTTAAGATAAAATTATTTCCCAAGCAATCAACATTTCTTTCACGCTTTCCGATAGCTCAGTTTCATCATCGGCATCGCATTGATTTTGAAGCAACTGGGCTGTATCAAAATTTGTCACCTTCACTGGCATTTTTTCTCAAAGTTACTAATCGCCGTATCGCCATTTTATTCGCCTCGATTATCAGAAAGCTACTGGCTGTAAATAGCTCACAAAATATCAGACTGACTCGGCATATACATCAGTGATCCCAACTTCGGATGTATCTTTTCAGATGCAACACAGCTTCTTCAAAAGTTAATTCGTCTTACGTGCGGTATGTAAATCAGGGTAGTTTTATGTGAGATTTCAGGCCTTTCGTTAAGTCGTTTTCAGATTAGAAAAAAGCTGAAGGTGCCTCCGCGATCCGACCCGAAACCTCAAACACTAACATATTTTGTATTTACCACGCAGTATGACCAGACGAATTCCCACAACAAAAACTGTGCTACCTGGCCTTATTTTCCGTACACATGGCAGGTCAAATTTGCTTGGAAATTTTTGAATGGATCACGCACTGTGTGGTCTGTGGTATCCTCCGCCTTGCAGCGCGGACTTATTTTGCCAGTCGCAGGCGGTCCCAGAAAATCCACTTCTAGGATAACTGAGCGTCCGTCCAGCTGTGTTCGACTCTCCAAGTCCGCCCATCCGGTCGACTCTCCCAGTTCGCCCATCCGGTCGACTCCCCCAGTCCGCCCATCCGGTCGACTCTCCCAGCCCGCCCATCCGGTTGACTCTCCCAGTCCGTCGGCCCGTTTGACTCTTCCAGTCCGTCGGTCCGGTCCACTCTCCCAGTCCGTCGGCCCGTTCGGCTCTCCCAGTCTGCCCACCCGGTCGACTCCCCCAGTCGGTCGACTCCCCCAGTCCGTTGGCCCGTTCGACCGTCCCAGTCCGTCGGCCCGGCCCATTTTCCCAGTCCGTCGGCCCGTTCGACATTCCCAGGCGGCCGACCAGACCACACCTGGTCAACCCGAGCCACCTCGCGACACCGGCGCCCCTGGCGCGCGTGACTCACCACCTCATCGGAACCCGAGCCCCGCTGCGAACCGGACCCTCGCCGGCCGTTGTCAGCCCCTCGTGGCTGGGACCGGAGACGAGCCTACGCCCGCCCGACCACCGGCCGTCACCCGGCGCGTGCCACCCGGGCGACACCACCACCGTCCCGGCGGCTGCCGGTGTCAAGCTCGTCAGACAATCTGCCAAGGCGGTGGAGATTGCGTTTGTCGTCACCACGTCGTATGTTTGGTGACAGGGGCAATGTTCCGGGGTCATGGTACTGGCTTATTGATCGGTAGTGGTATTGCTGTGGTCTGCGGTTTTTGTATGTGGACTCAGTGGAGAACAAAAGGTGCGTTACTAGATCTCCGAGCCCGCGCCACCAGACTGGCCGGCCCTTCGACAATAGCCGGGTCACAGTGGAGCCGGTGAAGCCCCAAAGCATCGCATCCCCACGAACAGCTGAGGCTGACGTGGGCGTGGCCTTTGTTAATGGGAGCTGGCGGCGCTCGCGAAGATGAGCCTTATTTGAGCTCTATTGTGGGGTCAGGGTATCACAACGGCGCGCCTGGCCTCCGTCCCAGGGGTGTTCCGTTCGGCCTGGCGATCGAGTGACTGCCTCCTCCGGCGGGCCCGAATAACTCCTCATCACCGGTATCCTGAGCCGGCGGCTTTGTCAGATCATCCCTGCGCCTCTGACCAGCACCACCCCTGAGCTATCTGACCAGCCCGGCCTCTGCACCGCTGACCAGCACCGCCCCCGAGCTCTCTGACCAGCCCTCCTAAGTGTCTGACCAGCTGGCTTCTGCACCTCTGACCAGTCTCCCTGGGCCCCTGTCCAGCGCCACCTTTGAGCTCTCTAGCGAGTCCCCCTGAGCGCCTGACCAGTCCTCCTGAGCCCTTGACCCAGCCCCGCCCTGTGCACCTGCCCAGCACCACCCCTGTTGAGCCCCTGACCAGTCCCACCCCTACGCCCCTGAGCAGCCGGCCGCGCGGCCCTCGCCGGCGCGCTCCGGCCGCGGGCCGCCGCCCCTTGATCAGGCGGGGCGGCGGAGCGTGGCCGCCGGCGGCTGCAACAGGAGCGGCGCCGCCGCCGAGAGCGCCGCATTACCCGCCGCCATATCTCCGGCCGGCCGCAGTCGGCACGTTCGCGCCGTAACAGCGTACCTTTATTGAGTCTGGCCGCAGCACCGGCCGGCCGGCTGGGCGGCGCCGCGCCCAAGGTGGGCCCCGCGCCGCGGCCGGCCCGGGTGCGTTCGGTGCACGACTGCCGGCGGCGAGCGGGGGTGCGTTCGGTGTACGACGAGCGAGCTAGGCGCAGTGTGGTTTTGAGTCCTGCTTTTCGGTGGCTGAGCGAACATGCGCCTTGTGGGACTGTGAAGAGTGGTTGTGGTGGTGGCCTTGTAGTGCAACGGTGTTCGGGGAGCATTTGATAGTCTGGGAGCTGCAACATCTTGATGTTGCTTCAAATTATGTGCCTTTAGGCTCGCAGTGTAAGTTTGCGCCGTGATTTTTAAGATCAGTTATCCAATACC